ATTTTCTGCCATTATAAAGATAGCCAGGAGTTACTATACAATGAGAGTGGGCTATTAAGCTCTTGTAGACAAGCCCTGAGATGTGGAATGGGATATCTCTAACTTTTTACTCACTTGTGGATCACAAGCTTGGTGAATCAATGCCTTGAAGGAGCTAAAATGACAAGTTGGTACAGACCTTCTGTGGCCATGTAAGAGAAGAGATATCTGAATTCTGAGTTATCATGCCTTAGGATCCTTTTATGAATTAGTTCTAGATCAAGCCCTGTGTACAAACCTTATAAATTTAGACTATTTCAGTGGTGCATTTCATTATGTTATGGTTAGTTTGTGCCTCATTTGGCCCAATGACTGAGGTTGGAATCTCTTTTACAAAAAAGTATGTAGCAAGGGAAAAATTTAATATGGGGGAAAAGGATGCCATCTGTGTACAATGTTCTCAGCTCCCCCGCAGTAAGCTGATTAGGGGCAATCAGCTCCCTTCCCAGCTGCTTAAATTCTCCTGCTGAGAATGAGTTTGCTTCATGAAATGAAAGAAAAGTATTTGCATGAGCAGAAAGTGGAGGTGGCCTGAAGGAGCAGCATGAAGAAAAATTAGCAAGCACCACCAAAACATTTCAAGCACACTGATTATTCTAGGCTCTTAACATGGTGATTTAAATGGCTTTACAATTACTGACAAGGATTTCAAGAGGTTTTGTATTTGCATACCTGAAGAGAAAATGCTTTTTTTTTCTTTTTTGCTGGTGACAGGATCTCAAAACTCCCAGCTAAGCTGCAGCATAATCAAGTTATTTCATAAAACATAGGATCAATCACAGGACTCATGACAGATGGCCACACAGCCTCTTTTTAAAAACCTCAGAGATGGAGACTCCACCATGCTTCAAAGCAGTATAATTCCACTGTCAAACAGCTCTTACTACCAACATTCTTTTTATGTTTAGGTAGGATCTCTTTTCTTATATTTGAAACCATTACTCCCTATTCTGGTCTCTGGAGAAGGTGAAAACAAGCTGGATCCATTTGCAATATGACATTCTGCAAATATTTAAATATGTCTATCATGTCACCTTTGAATCTTTCCTTCTCCAGACTCATCCTGTTCAAGTTCTCAGTTTGACTTGGAGGTCTGTATAGTAATAGTAGTAGGAGTAAAACTTTATTTATATTATAGTAGACCTCCTCACAATTACATCCCTGTTGTTTCTTTCTCCTTTAATTTCTACTCAGATCCTCTCAACTTGACTTCCAAGAATTAGGTCATGAGGCTCTTCACAGGTGTGAAAATCTTTGACCAAAAGAATCCTATGCCTCCTCCTTTCCTGTTTGCTCTATTTTTCCAAAATAGATTATATCCCTCTATGATCACATTCTAATCATGAGACCCATCCACCAGGTTTCACCTAATAGATTTGTTACAGTTCTATTTTGACTGTCCAGCAAATGCCGCTGGAGTGGGGTAACAACAATAACACAATGCTACATAAAAATACTGAAAAACAAAGCAAAAAGAATAAACCATACACTGTCTCATTCAAAGGCTTAATAAGCAAAGGTAGTGCCGAGTACCCACTGTGTGACTTCATAGAAGTCACATTCTCTCAACCTCAGGGGAAGGCAATGGTATGCTTCTTCTGAACAATTCCTTCCAAGAAAGCCCAGTGAGAGGTTCACTTTAGGGTTTCTATGGGTACAAAAAAAATTGAGGGCACAAAACCACAATAATAATAGGAACTATTATTGTTCCTATTCCAAGTCCAAGAAAAATTGTTCTTGGACTTGGAATTCTGATTCTGAGATTCCCCAATTTCCCCATCATCTTTTGTGTACCTAGGGTCCTTCCACACAGTCCTATATCCCAGTATATCAAGGCAGAAAATCCCACATTATCCAAGTATGGACTCAGATAACACAGTTCAAAGCAGTTATTGTGGGATTTTCTGCCTTGATATACTGGGATGTAGGGCTGTGCGGAAGGGCCCCTAGACTAATTGTCACACTAGAGAAAAAATCCATTTAAAATCCAGTTTCTGCCTACTGTAGAATTCTGGGGTTTGTAGTTTAGTAAAGCTGTTAAAGACTCCTCCCAAAATTACAAGCCCCAAAATTCTGCAAGAGGCAGAAACTGAATTTTAAGTGGATTTTTTCTCTAGTGTGATGAAGTAGTAAGCTAGAACAGCTTCCTTGTATCAGAAGAGAATATGGAAAGTAATGTTTAAAAAACAGCTTATTGGCATTGCTTGTTGTGTTGTTTTTTGTTTGGTATTCCAAAAGTAATCTCTTGCCAGAACTCATCTTTATATTTACAATACAAAACTTTATTACAGTCACTGACCAGCACAAAACACAATTTTAAAAATAAACCTCTTTTGCTGTTTCTTAGTTTTCCTTACTGGAAGGGAAAGAATGGTGTAAAAGAAAAAGTAATTCCAGAAATAATCTTAAATCATGACTATAAAACATTAACCGCTACACCAATAAAGGTAATGTGATTCCCAGGTGTAGTACTTTTGAATATCACTTCAATGCATCATTGTTACTCACAGAGTAAGCAGAAGTAACTACTTTGCTTGTAACTCATTAATTCCCAATTTGGTGTCAGATTAGCAAGGTAAATGGTAGAGAAAAGGACCCTTTCTTTCCACAAGATAAATAGGATGTAGAGAAGAAAGGAAGGGGGAAGCAGAAGTTACAAGGGTTGATTGCATCTTGGTTCAAATATTAGAAAGAAAGGTGGAAAGTTCAGCAGGACACAGCATAAATAAGGAGATCAGATAAAGAAGAATGGAAATGGGCGACGACTCTTTCACACTCTTCTGCTTACCAGACAGCTATTTAGATGCCATTTCCTCCATATAACACAATACACATAATGGGCCATCTAGACAATAGCATCAGTTTTTCCATTCTTAAGTTCTTCTGAGTATTTGATGTAGGAAATCAGATACAAAGAAAAAGGGTCTGTCATCACTTACTTTACTTCTATACTATTATAGACCCTGGTATCTGTTGTACTGTGTAAAGCAGTGGTTCCCAACCTTTGATCCTCCAGTTGTTTTGGACTTCAGCTCCCACAACTTCCTAACAGCTGGTAAACTGGCTGAGATTTCTAGGAGCTTAAGTCCAAAATAACTGGAGGACCAAAGGTTGGGAACCACTGGCGTAAAGGCATCCCAACTGAAAAGAGTGCTATATGCTCACATATTTATCTTGGTTATTTATTTATTGTGTCAAAAGAAAATTGATAATACAGTTATAATGTGTAGAAAAACCACAAACAAAGTTACAAACTTGGCATTCTATTAAATACCCTTTGACCAGTAGCTGGCCACTTGGAGTGCCTCTGGTGTTGCTATAAAAAGGTCTTTCATTGTGCATGTAGCAGGGCTCAGGCTGCATTGTGGTTTGCTCTTTGCCACACTCACATGTCGTGGACTCCACTTTGTAGCCCCATTTCTTAAGGTTGGCTCTGCATCTCGTGGTGCCAGAGCTCCGTCTGCTCTGTGACTTCCAAGTCACCCTGTCTTCTGTGTGTCCAGGAGGGAGTCTCTCATCTGAATTTTTTTTTCATGTCAGGAGCGCCTTGAGGAACTGCAAGTCACTTATGGTGTGAGAGAATCGGCCGTTTGCAAGGACGTTGCCCAGGGGACGCCTAGATGTTTTACCATCCTGTGGGAGGCTTTTCTCATGTCCCAGCATGGGGAGCTGGAGCTGACAGAGGGAACTCAACCCGCTCTCCCCGTATTCAAATTGCTGTCCTATTGGTCAGCACTGAGGTTTAACCCATTGTACCAGTGGTATCAGCCACTTTTGGACTCTCGCTTGCTGAGGTGTTTCTGCAAGTATTTATCCTGGTGTAGGAAGTAGAATCTACTTGAGGAACATTTTTTTTCCTAATGGATGCCTACTTTGAAAGTACTTCCATTAGTTGATAGAGAACAAAATCTTGGGAGAAATTATTTCCATGTGTGTATTTCCTTAGCAACCACTCGGTGGCAGTGTTTGATCACCTATTTAAAATATCTTTTTCTTTTAGAACCGTTTTTTTTAAATATTCTAATCTATTCCAGAGTTTATAGCATCATAGTCCAGGCTATATGGCCATGCTCCAGAAGCATTCTCTCCTGACGTTTTGCCCACATCTATGACAGTAATCCTCAGAGGTTGTGAGATCTGCTGGAAACTAAGCAAGTGAGCTTTATATATCTGTGGAATGTCCAGGGTGGGAGAAAGAACTCTTGTCTGTTTGAGGCAAGTGTAAATGGAAGTGTAAAAAAACAGGGAAATTCCAATCAAGAATCAATCAGGGCCAGCTAATGCCTCCCAACAAAGGATCCCCCAGGCAGCAACCAGCCAGGCTTTGAAGCTAAAAGGCTACTAAATGCTAACCAAGGTGACCAATTGCAATATTCACACTTGCCTCAAACAAACAAGAGTTCTTTCTCCCACCCTGGGCATTCCACAGATATATGAACCTTACTTGCCTAGTTTCCAACAGACCTCACAACATCTGAGGATGCTTGCTATAGATGTAGGCGAAATCTCAGGAGAGAATGCTTCTGGGACATGGCCATACAGCCTGGAAAACTCACAGCAACCCAGTAATAACCTCTGAGGATGCTTGCTATAGATGTAGGTGAAATCTCAGGAGAGAATGCTTCTGGAACATGGCCATACAGCCTGGAACACTCACAGCAACCCAGTAATAACCTCTGAGGATGCTTGCTATAGATGTAGGTGAAATCTCAGGAGAGAATGCTTCTGAGACATGGCCATACAGCCATCTCCCGAAAGCGTCTCTTCAAAGGGCCAAGAAGGGGGAAATCGGCCGGCGGTGGAGACTTCAGTAAGGAAACACAAGCTGGAGGTGCCCTCACCCAAGATGGCGGAGGTGGAGTCGGGACACTTCTAGGCAGGACACCGGTTGAAGGCGAAACGGAGCACTCTGATTGGCGGAGGAGGCGTCAGTGCGGGGCGAACGCACGGTGCCCTCATCCAAGATGGCGGCGGGAGAGGAGGAGGAGGCGGAGGCGGAGCCGGGCCCCTTCGAGTTGGGTCACCTGTTGAAGGGCCCGTCGAGCGGCGTGATTGGCTCGCCCCAAGAGCCTGCGGCCTCCCTTCCCGCCTCGGCGTCGATGGGATAGGGTTAAAAAGCCGAAGCCCTGGGGGCGGCGAGGCCTCGCTCTCTCTCTTTCTCTTTGAGGTACCACCCCCCGGCTCCTCCCCTTCAGCCCGGCATGGAGGGGCTCGAGAGGCGGCGCGAGAGGGAGGAAGAAGGAGCGGCGTCGGGAGGAGGAGGCCAGGAGGCGGCGGGAGAGGCCAAGGCCGCGGAGGAGCCTCTGGACTGGACCTTCGTCGACATGGAGACGGCGATGTCGCTGCAGGACCTGCCCGCCGCCCTCATCGCCTGCAACCTACCGCTGGCGGTCTTCTTCCCCGACGGACCCAGCAGGGTGAGACCCCCAAGGCCCGCTTGCCCCACCTTAGCATTCATGCTGCAGAGGCGCGTCTCTGGCAAACTTGGGCCCTCCAGGTGGGTTGGGCTTCAACTCCCACCATTCCTAACCGCGCTCAGGCTCCGCCTGTGCATTACTAATGTACGTGCATGGACCCACTCCAGCCGCTTGAAGCGGCTGAGGGGGAAAAGGAAGGGGCCTGAGGCGGTTAGGAATGGTGGGAGTTGAAGTCCAACCCACCTGGAGGGCCCAAGTTTGCCTGAGCAAGAGCATGTCATTACTCCTCAAGGCACATCACAGTGACTATGCCTTTCACTGTGGTACTGGTCTGCAGGATTTCCAGAACACAGCAAACAAAACATTAAAATGAGCTGTTCAGTAGTGGAACTCTCTGCCCCAGAGTGTGGTAGGGGCTGCTCCTCTGGAGGCTTTTAAACAGAGGCTGGAGGGCCGTCTGTCAGGGGTGCTTTGAAGGTGATCTTCCTGCTTCTTGGTAGGGGGTTGGGTTGAGTGGCCCACCAGGTCTCTTCCAACACTATGATTCTGTGATAATCACCACTGCAGATCCCTCACTCTTTTAGCCAGTCATTTTATGCTCACTGTTGCAGTCATTTAGTCAACTACCACAAATACTTGGGACCAATAGAACTCTAGAGTTGGAAGAGACCCTAAGGGCCATCTAGTCCAATTATCAGCCATGCAGGAGCCCCCGGTGGCGCAGTGGGTTAAACCCTTGTGCTGGCAGGACTGAAGACTGACAGGTCACAGGTTTGAATCCGGGGAGAGTGCGGATGAGCTCCCTCTATCAGCTCCAGCTCCACATACGGGGACACGAGAGAAGCCTCCCACAAGGATGGTAAAAACATCAAACATCCAGACATCCTCTGGGCAACATCTTTGCAGACGGCCAATTTTCTCACACCAGAAGCAACTTGCAGTTTCTCATGTTGCTCCTGACACGACCAAAAAAACAACAACAAAAAAACGGCCATGCAGGGAGTCCCAGTTAAAGCACCTCCGGCAGATGGTATACAGCCTCTGCTTAAAAGTCGCTAGAGAAGGAGGTCCCACCATGTTCCAGGGCAGCTTATTCCACTGACAAACGGCTCTTACCATCAGTGGCTTCTTCCTATTATTATTATTATTATTATTATTATTATTATTATTATTATTACCTTTATTTATATTTCCCACCTTTCTCCCCTTGGGGACTTGAGGCAGCTAACATCTATCCCTGGCATGGGCAAACTTGGGCCCTCCGGGTGTTTTGGACTCCAACTCCCACAATTCCTAACAGCCGGTAAGAATTGTGGGAGCTGAAGTCCAAACCACCTAGAAGGCCCAAGTTTGCAAGACCATGCCTTTATCTTCAAGTCACATCACAGTAACTATTCCTTTCATTGTGCTACTGGACACTAACCACAGCTAAACATTAAAATCACCACTGCAGCCCCCTTGCTCCTTTAGCCAGCCATTTTATGCTCACTGTTGTGGTCATTCAGTCACCTACTACCAATACTTGGGACCAACAGAACCCTAGAGTTGGAAGAGACCCCAAAGGCCATCTAGTCCAATCCTCAACCATGCAGGGAGACCCAGTCAGAGCACTCCCAGCTATCCAGGCTCTGCTTAAAAGTCTCCAGAGAAGGCGGTCCCACCATACTCCATGGCAACCTATTCCACTGATGACCAACTCTTACCATCAGGAAGTTCTTCTACTACTACTTATTTTGATTTATATTTCCTGCCTTTCTCCCCATAGGGACTCGAGGCAGCTAACATCTATCCCAGGGATGGGCAAACTTGGGCCCTCTGGGTATTTTGGACTTCAGCTCCCACAATTCCTAACAGCCAGTAGGAATTGTGAGTGTTAAGTCCAAAACACCTGGAGGGCCCAAGTTTGCCCATGCCTGATCTATCCACACTAGAGAGTTAAAAAAGAGAAATACAAAAAATAAAAAACAATTAAATAATAGTGTGGTAAAGACAGAATGAAAATACAGCTAATACATTAAAATGGCCTTTAGAACTCATATCTCCTCCCCCAAACCCCACCCACCCTCCCCTAATGTTTAGGTGGAATCTCCTTTCCTGCAGTTTGAAACTATTGCTCTGTGTCCTAGTATGTGTTGTGATATGTTTCATGGCTACTGATATTCTGTCCTTTTAAATACGTATTCTGGCTAGTCTATGTAGCACTGAAACCCTTTTAAGCCAATCCCATCAAAAATTATGCAAGTTTTCAAGATACCAGATTCTTTTCTTTGGGTATGCTATTTTGAAAGGTGAGAAAGGGCGCAGAATGTGTCCTACCCAGCATGTGGCCTCATGATATAACACACCTGCAGGGTATTATACTGACAATTCTCCTTATTTAATAAATGCATAACAGTTTGCATAAATTTATTATAGCTCATGGTATGGTGTATATGTTCTTATGGGTGCCACATGGCACATGTTATTTTACCGCATGGCTGGTAGGCATAATGTGCAGTGAAGGAATAGAAGAAATGTTCTGTGGAAAATTAGACTCCTTCCTGAGAGACATCTGTGTTATCTGAGGAAAGATGTAAGGGTAAGATTTTGCACGCATGCTCCCTTAGTTCTGATCCAGGATTGGCTGAAAAAAGCATCCCTGCATGTTTCTACTGTGCAAATTTGTTGGGCTACAATAGTTATTCTGGTCCCCTTAAGCATGATCTGTTGCTATGGGGTGTATCTACACCAGTGTTTCTCAACCTCTGCTCCTCCAGGTGTTGTGGACTTCAGCTCTCAGAAAGCTTACCAGCTGTTAGAAATTGTGGGAGCTGAATCCAAATCACCTGGAGGAGCAGAGTTTGAGAAACACTGGTGTACATAACACCCCATAGCAACAAATCATGCTTAAGGGGACCAGAAGATACTGATCTACACTGTAGAATTAATGCAGTTTTATACACCTCTTTAACTGTCATGATTCAGTGTTCTTTGGCAAAGCTGTTCTATGCTTCTAGTGTTGCAGCCATAAGATTAATCCACTGCAAAACAGCAAATTTTGCCAGGAACTATATGGAGTAGGATTGAGCATCTATTTTCATCAAGGCTATTCAGTACAAGAGTATCATTATGGATAATGATGGATTTAATTTTAAGACGCAGGCACCTGCAGCAAAATGTAGGGTATCAATTTAAACATATAGTACTATAAAGATCCCTTAAGGGGCTAATTAGCAAGCCCTGAACGGAGCTTTGAACAGACCCGCCCCTTTGCATGCTGTAGCTCAGCTATTTTTAGTAACAACTCCAAGCATGATTACTGTATTGTGCTGGTGCTACAGGGCTTCTGTTCTAGATTTAGGCTGGGCCCATTCAGGAGCACTGTAGTTGGGGTTCTAACAGCAAGAGTCCTTTTTACAAGAAACACCTGTATTTAGGAACAACAGCCAGGAAGAATTATGTGCCCAGACTGCTATAGCAACATGTGAGAAGCATCCATATATAATCCTTGGTCTACGTATTTTGGGGCTTAATCTGTTTTTGGAAACCCAGTTTTTATACATGAATTTCTTTTACTGATATTTATTGGCATGGAGCCACCCACTTTTAAAGTTAAACGTTCTTATATAAAAACCATATTCCGTGTCTTCATTGCCATTTTGTCAGGTAATTATTAAATGGTTATTGTGTCTTATTGCTTAAGTGTGGCTTCTTAGAAGTTAGGTATCTTAATTCCATTGGGTCTTACTCTAAAGTAGGCATGTACAGGATTGAGTACTGATTGTATAGTCCCAATTTGATCTTATATTTTGTTGGGCTACTATGCTAGTATAAAACTAGTTGCACAAAAGAGGTATGCTTTTACAGAGGTTTCATAAATGCAGCCCCCTAAACTCCTCTTACTTTTAACTTAATAGATGGGAGTTAATTGATCATTGCACAATGTATGTGTTCAGGGCCCTAGTGCCCATTGTGCAACGGTGAGATCCAATCAGCAGCACAACTGTGGGATCCAATGTATATTACACTATATTTATGATGTCCAAGATATGGCCATTAATGCTAGCAAATATGAAAAGGAGGTCACAATGGGAAAGCATAAATGCTTTCTGTGTACTGGTTCCCTATATCATGATGTTCAAAGTAACTTTGGCTTCTCTCCAGCTACAGTAAATCTGAAATGGGAAGCTGCCTCCTCTTTATCTCTTCTCATCCCTGCTCTTCCTGTAATTAATGCTATTTTAAAATAGGTGCACCTCTAGCCATCAGAGTTGTTGTTTCTTTTACGAGTTTATTTGACCAACTTGCATACATACAAACTTACAGCTCCAAATATTCATTTGCTGGTTTGCTTCTTGAAATGTTCAATTTAAATTGGTTCCTCGAGTGGTTTCTTTAAAACTTTGGTCACATCTGCCATCAGGACATAGTAATTGCATCTTCACATAGAACGGATCAAGTTGGTTAAAATTATCCAGGTGCAAACACTGGCTGGGGTCCTGCATGGGAAATGTAGCTGCAGTGACATACAAATGACCCGTGTCTCTCAAACCCACCTAAGAAGTCAGACAGCTGCAACCAAGGAATCAGAGGGTTCTACCAAGTTGAGTGCTGGGAATATCATACATCCATCTCTTTACTGCCAGAAAATCATGATGTCATGAGTTCCTGTCCCAAATGTTTTGTGTAGCTCCTTGGTTTCTTGGGTAGCTTTGGGCAGCATTTGTGGTTGTGGTTATGCCATGGCAACATGGACATAGTATTTTTGCCTTGTACTGATGTTCCTCTTGATTAATTATGACTCCTTCACATTTTTAAATGCCCTCAATCTTTTAAAGTACTATTACAGATTGAGTGTTCCCAATAAGCTACTGAAACTCTTTTCCAGGAATACATTTAAAACCAAATTTAGCAAGGCTACATCTTTTTTGCCACTGCTATACTATTTCAGGATGTCTACCTTTATATTTAAAAATCAGGAAATGAAAACTTGCCTGAGTCAGCCACAAGAGGGTGAAGTT